ACTTGAAATATCAGCTAGCGAATCCAAATTGTACGGCACACATGACTTAATGACAGCGTCGATAGGACCAGTAAAACGCGTGCTCCGAATACATTACGAGTCGAGGGATAAGCGTTCGTTATTATTTGACTATTATACCACGTATCGTACGAACGTGTCGGCCACTAAAGAGTGTGGTATATGTTGGACAGTAGGCGAGAGAAGCTTGTTCCTTTCCTCGTCGTTCTTTTCTTTCGATGCAACGCGCCTCGTAATTCACTTATACACGTTGCGCATACTTACGTGCATGATCTGCAACAATGAACGGGAGGACTCCTCTTCAGGCAGACTGCTTTTTCTCGTTGTACATCTTCATAATGCTGTGTAAGAGAAGAGACGAAACATATTTATGCCGTTTTGCGATCTATTCATCGTAGAAAAAGAAAAGGGGAACACACCTCAGATTAATTAGAGGAACATAATTAGAAGATCTTTGTGACGCACCGGGACGCATTATTACGGCTAATTACCGCGGTGTAATATGGAACGTGGTGTGTAAATATTGCGTGGTTTTTTTTCTCTCTCTCTCTCTCTCTCTCTCGATGATAATGAAAATTCGAGAGTTTTCCGGGTTTGTGCGGGGGAACGTGGAAACTTGAAAATTTGAGAAATCTTGAGAATTTTTAATTTGGGAAATTTCATATCTTGAGAAATTTCATATTAGGAAAATTTAAAATTTGAGAAATTCCATATCTTGAAAATGGAAAATTTGACAAATTTCATACCCGGAAAATGTAAAATTTGAGAAATTCCATCCTACGATTTACGAAGAACGAAGAACGTTCTTAGTACGCTTTTTACGAAGGGCAAGCTCCACGGAGATCCGTAAGAATAATTTTACAATTATACTGGAGTCCAAGGCACGATATTCGAGGATATAACGGGAAATAATGGGATGAAATAATCGTCTCTGTAAGAGCTATAAGCTAGTTGAGCAGGCTTGCAAGAAGGTACCCTTGAACCACGGATGTTCGTACTTCTAGTCTCCAAATAAACTTCTAGTCCATCGAATAATCGCAAAGTTTCACCAACAAATCTCACTACACTATCCCTGAATAAACTTCAATAACAACCAATAATCAATAATCAAATTCCCGAAAAATATCCGAAATTGAAATCCTTGGCACCAGTACTCTTCGCAACATCGTAACATCCCATAATTCGATTACTGTTCATCCAATGGCTCCTTTCTAAGGCTTCCACAAACGTTTGTTTCACCAGATCCGTACGTATTTACAAAGATTCAAGTTACTTCTTGCAGCTTTGCCTGGTTTCGAAAACTTCCAACGATTTCCAATTCTTCGACGTCCTTTTTCCCATTATTCATCGCCTACGTTTTCTCTCTCTTTTTCAACATTCATCTCTTCATCCGTCGATTTTTATTAATCGTATTAATACTTCACGCTAAGAAAAATATTCCCGGATACTTGATATTTTCACTTGGTCAGATTTTTCCCTCAAGAGAGAAATTTTCCTCTTCTCTCCTCGCCAGAGATTTCTAAAAAGTATCTCAACATTGGGCGACGTGTAATGTATGACATGTGAGGCATTGTTACGTAAATCGTTAGTCTTCATTGGTCGACTGGCGACCCTTCCTCTAGACGAATCACCTTCAATGCCGATAACCACCTCTAAATCTCAATTTACGCGTAACGCTCACGTAGAGAGATCTACGGATCTCTCCGCGAGGTTCTGCGCTTTAATTCCATAAATACTTGTTTGTTTCGGGCTGATGCCGTGTAAACGGGTAAAACGGAACACCGTCAATTATCAGCCGGTATGTGGAAGAACGATTTAACTTGAACTTGTACGAACCAGATATTTGATTAACATCAATGTTGCATCGTCGATTAAATTTACTCGATCGACAAATTGGACCGTTGTTTAATTTCCATTTCCCTCCGTGATTATCCCCAGGGTTCGGGCTCGCACACTTTACCAATAGCGCACACGAAGCCACCTACTTCCGGGATTAAATTCGGATGGATTCAAGGTGTATTGTTGAGATGTCTTCTAAATATTTGGGGGGTTATGCTGTTTCTACGACTCTCCTGGGTCGTGGCACAAGCTGGTATAGGTAATTATGCGAATGAAAAAACAATGCGTATCGTAGTATCGCATTTAATAGCAGCATAATTTTCTTTTCTTTTTTATCACGTCAATCAAGAACATTTACAGCTTCGCTATTCCAATGAAAATTTTAATCCTGTAAAATTTACAATCTCTATGAGTTATGCCGCTATCAGTGCCGAAGCAACGATAGTATTGTAACGTTCCTACGTAACATAGACTGGAAACTATTTTTCCTTCTCGATCTTTTAGGAGAAGCTATCCTATTGATCTTAACAACGACAGCTGTAACAACGATAACGTCGTTATCGATGTCGGCGATCAGCACAAATGGGCTAATTAAAGGAGGTAAATATCGTTCAATCGATTACCATCGGATACGAAAGTGAAATAATTCGAAATAATGATTTTTCACATCGGCTGATCTATGTGTGTGTTCACACTGTTCGTCGAATTCGCGTTGCTTGTGGTGTCAGTCGATAAGATTAATTAAAAACACTTCCCGCAGGTGGCACGTATTACATGATTTCCAGATCACTTGGACCGGAATTCGGAGGATCTATAGGGCTGATATTTTCCTTGGCGAACGCAGTCGCTTGTTCGATGTACGTTGTTGGATTTTGCGAGAGTATGGTTGATTGTCTGAAATCGAACGGAGTCTGTATCGTTGATTGCGACAATACCGACATCAGGATTATAGGTCGGTATGGAGAATTGAAAGAGTTGAAGACGTGAGAATGAAAATCTGGCCAAGATCGCAACTGCACATCTTGCAGGAGGAACGAATAAACAGATCTATCTAATTTTCATGCTGTCCAATCGAGTAGAAGATAGATGATCTATGAACAAAAATAAAAAAAAACAATTTTCGTAAATTTGTTCTTTAGCTACGTTCTCATGTTTTCAATTGTTGCACGATTTTTCTCGCACCTTACGAACGTATCTTACCTTTCTGTCTTCACACAGGTTGTATCACGATAGTTCTGTTACTATTGATAGTAATGATCGGCTTGGAATGGGAGGCGAAAGCTCAGATTGGTTTGCTGATCATCTTGCTGTTGGCTATCGTCGATTTCATCATTGGCACTTTTATGGGCCCTAAAGACGATCAGGAGAGGGCTAAAGGATTCATAGGATACAACGGTAAAGTTTTCTAGCAATGCTACGTGAAAGAATGTTAAAATTGACGATCGTTAACGTGTTCTGTTTGCTTTGCATTTGCAGCCGATCTGTTCAAGGAGAACTTTTATTCGGACTACAGATACAGCGAAGGGGTGGAACATAATTTTTTTTCAGTCTTGGCTATATTTTTCCCAGCGGCTACAGGTATCCTGGCAGGTGCGAATATATCCGGTGACTTGAAGGTGATTTAGTCCTTTCGTCTAATAGGGAATATTTGTTTAATGCGTTAATTATTTAAGGTTTCATTTGAACTTCGTACACGTCGAGCCTTGAAATTCGATTGAAATTCAAGTCATCACGTTGCATGTTTCTGTTAAATAAAAAAATCATTAAATCACAGCAACGTGAAGGAATAGGAACGTGTTATAATCGCTGGATGAATTTTCTGTTTGTAATAGGATCCACAAACGGCTATACCTAAAGGAACTTTATTGGCTATTCTTCTAACAACGATTTCTTACATCTTCATGACGTTTATGGTCGGCGGTACAGTAGCAAGAGATGCGTCTGGCGATGTTAACGATCTATGGAACACTTTTAATAGTTCGTACGCTGCCTTATCGAACTTGAACGCGACCAACGAAACAACCGAGACCCCGGTTACTGCCGTCGATCCCAATCAAATAGTATGGACGAAATATGGCACGAAATTTAATTGTACGGGCAATTGTCCGTACGGTAGCCAGAACAGCTTCCAGGTATTATTTCATTTCTTTGATTATTCTCAAGCAGGAAGAGCGAATCTTGAATTCACTGTCTATTGTTTTAGGTGATCGAGTTGGTTTCTGCGTTTGGACCATTTATTTATGCGGGATGCTTTGCAGCTACTTTATCAAGCGCCTTGGCATCGTTGGTTTCCGCGCCTAAAGTATTTCAGGCACTTTGTCTGGATAAATTGTATCCTGGAATAGCGTGGTTCAGTGGTGAAAAAGACAAAGAACCAATTCGTGGTTACTTTCTTACTTTTATAATCGCAGTCGGTTTTATATTGATTGGTAGGTATTTTAAATTTTGAGAAAAATTGTTTACTGTAAAGCATTTGGATTAAGGATATTTTTCTTTTTTTGTTTCAGGGGAATTAAATGCCATAGCTCCTTTGATCTCAAATTTCTTTTTGGCTGCCTATACTCTCGTTAACTTCAGCACTTTCCACGCTTCTTTGGCTAAACCAATTGGCTGGAGACCAACGTTTAAGGTATTTTCT